ATTTGTTTCTCTTCTGAGTTTGGGTGTAATTTGTAGTTGTCAATGTGTGTATGTAATGTCCATGGCTCTTGCAACACAGGGTTTCCCTAGTGGCTATAAGTGTGTGCGTTTTTATTATTATTTAAGCAATGATATTATACTATATATATAACAAACTAGTGGAGTAATTTCACAAAACAGAATTGAATATCAATTCAATAAAAATTCAAGATATTATACTTATTATAAAAGTTATCGACTAAATTTCGTTTGTAGAATCTTTAAACTTTGTCCTGAAAAGTTGTCACTTTGCAAGTGAAATATGATCGCGGCTGCGCGATCCAACATGCATATGTATAATAAAAAAATATGTTCGAGCTTTGTATTAATAATTATAATAAGCTAATGGAGTGATTTCACAAAAAATAATTGAATATCAATTCAATGAAAATTTAAATACTGTGAATAGCGACATCTCTAATCGGGGTTGGTAGCTGTAAAGGTATCTAACTGGGTGGCGAAATTCTTTCATAGATTTCTCATAGATGGCGCAACGGCTAAAACGTCAATGTAAAACCAAATACAAAGATACGACAAGCACATAGAAGAATTAGTGAGGTCCGCTGGTTCATCCCGTGGTGCTTAGTTGGTATAGCATCTGGCACGGTTTGCTAGAAAACGTCGATTCGAATTCGGCCGGATCGAAGGAATTTTTTGAAAGTGTTCGATCTTTGTATTAATTTATAATTATAATAAAAAAGCTTAAATATTTTTAAGGAAAATAAGCCAGCCATAGATATTTTTTATTGAAGTATCTTTTAACATTTTAGCGATGGTACACGATACGTTGCATCGGGATTTCGACGCTGCATTACAATACATATAAATTAGTACATGCCACGTGGTGCGTTGAAACGGCAGCAACAGAAAGCGTGCGCATCGGACTAGGGGCCAGAAAACTAAGCGGGGAGAGTGAGTGGGGAGAGAGGGGGGACTCATTTCTGAGTCATATTTCGTAGAAGTAGAATATATAGACAGATAAAAGCCGTCAAAAAATTGTACGATGGAATGTCAACCGGTTCACGAATTTAACCAACAATATTAGTCAGCCTTTGTTAATGGTGCGTTATTATTAAATAAATTAGGTACCATTTTTATCGCGTAAATTCCCAAACTACCTCGAGACTTGTTTTGTAACCATTCGAAGGCATCAAAACAAAATCATTCGGATTATAAAATCATCATAATATATTACAAAATCATTAAGTAATATACTATAATATAGTGATTTTATTTAATCGATACGATGTGTCGTACGACTGCTCATATTTTACTGCTAACAGCGTAGTATTCTACTGTATTTGAATTACTGGCCAGTTTACCATACCATGTTATTTTCAATACATTCAAGACATAAAATACTCTTAATTTTTTTACCGTTTTTAAAAAAATGCGGAGGTTTACAATTAGACTGTATTTTTGTGTGTGTATGTTTGTAGACATTTGTGAACCAATTTCGTTTATTCTCATTTTGTTGTAAAGGGGATGGATACTTTAGTAGTGATTCCATTCAATTTGAAGAAAATTTTTCACCTCTAAGGGTGGGAAATTAGGAGATTGAATTTCACCCACTTTCCGTTAAGCGAATACAATAAAACTTGGCAAATTACACAAACTTTTGTGATCGGTTTTTTTTTCTAATTCAAACTTAAAATATTTATTCACTAAGACAATATCAATAGTCTATTGGTAAGGCAAATTACAAGAAATACAAACTGAAATTATTCTGATATATAATAATAACACAGAGTGCTTATAATCGCAATTTTTTTTAAGAAAATTAATATTCATTTATAGGCTTAGTGTCTATAGTACCATTGATTTGTACCATCAATGGTACAAATGATACTACTATGTGTCCTTAGTACCATTGAAAATTATACTTGTTTATACCGTGTATTTACTTGTGAAAATAAAACTCACATTTTCTATATATTTGAATATCTCCAAATTTGTTGGTTTTATAAAGAGTGATTTTCATAGTAAGGTTTTAGTTTTTGCTTGAATAAAGCCATTTCCAATTCAGATTCGCTAACTTTTTTAACGCACACACTCAGTATCTCACTAGGGAGACCCTGTATCGCGGGTGCCATGGACACACGTATAGACAACCACAAACTACAACCGAACTCACGAGAGAAATAAAATGTAGGCTATACAAATGTTTATCCCGAATCGAACCTGTGACCTCTGCGTGACCAGCACGGTAACCGGCCGGCCACAGAGGCAGTTATTTAGTAACTGGTAGTTTATTGCATACATATTAAAGAAAAAGTTCATCCAGGGAAGTACTGCCTCCTATTTCTGCCGCCAAGCAGTAATGTGAGCATTACTGCTTTTCGTTTTTGAAGGGTAAGTGTGCTGGTGAAATTACAGGCACGTGAGACGTGTCAACTAATGTTTATTACGGTCTATTTTTTTTGTAAATTATTCACAAGTAAGAGGAAAATGTAGCAAATCCGTTGGTATGATTTTCGCATCAACGTCTCAATTCTGCGGGAGCCCTTAGGTCTCCGTAGGATACTCCATTTAGTTAGTCACATTGCCAGGAAAGAAGTAATCTGTAACAGCTGATGGTTACCGGACGGATCGACGGTAAACGTCAGCATCATGTAGACTCAAGGCTCTAGACATGGGTCTCCATGATCCGCTTCATTATGTCAAAGAGTGTCATCATGCAGAAACTGTTTCCGCAGAAGAGTCACGACCTTTAGTAATGGGGAATACGACGCGAGGAGGACTCACTAACGTTATCCCATGTTCTTTGGTACATTGTGTTTTTCTCTTTCCTCGTAACAAAACTCATTTGTTACATTATAGGCAATGAAATAACCAGACAAAAGGGTCTACCGTATTGCGCAGCATGTGTCTACGAGCATTGTATGCCCTGGATTAGTAATTGAGCAATTGCTTGAGTAAAATTGGCACTTCCGATCATCACTTTGTACTAGTCGCTAGATACGAATGCTTACTTTTTAACCGACTTTAAAAAAGGAGATTCTCAAAAGTAATTTTTTTTGTGGGTGTATGTTACGTGATCACTTCGACATTTGTGGACAGATGTCAATGGTACTTTTTTGTTGGAAAGACGGTACCTCACTAGTGGTCCCATTCGCATTTAAAGAAAACATTTGCGAAACCTGTCGCTTGCGAAGCGTTTCGCTTCCGCATTATATGGCAAATAACTAAGGAGTGGAATTACCCGCCTGCAGACTTATTCCCCGAACACTATAACTTGGGACTTTTCAAGGCGAGAGTGAATAGACATTATTTAGGTGTGCATGCTACATCGTCAACCTCATCGTCACTTACCATACGTGAGATGGAGGTCAAATGAATAAGGAAACAAATAACAATTTGAGCAAGGTTCATTTTCGTGCAAAACTCTAATCCGATTTGCCATTCTAGTTAAGGCAGTGAACAGTAACGAATTATGTTGAGTGTGTGCGTTATGTTGAGTACATGTACATAAGTAATTTCATAAATTTCATACACGAATTTATTTTTAGCCAATTATTTTAAGCAAATAACCCTTCAAAAGATTAGGAAGCATTCTTAATATAGATGAAAATTATTTACGAAATCATTTATTGCAGTTTTAAACACCTGTTAAATGAACTCATTCCTGATGCAATAAACCTGCTCACTAACATCACAATCTTAACTATGTTAACATATGCAAATGTTACATAATATCAATTTATAGCATTATGTGTTTCTTTATTCAACACAAGTATAAAAAACAATCAAGTTTTGCATAAAACACTTCTGTAAATTCAATTTTTTTATTTAAATCCTTTTTCGCAAAATGATAATATGTAGACAATATAATTAAAAAATTATTTATATGCCCATTAAGTTCAGGAATATAAGTAGTTGATAAATTTCAATATTTTGTTTACGATACCAAGTAGCGGGACAAGCAAGTCGTCCGCCTGGTGGGAAGCGATACGCCTGTCTATAATACTTTAAGTACCACTCAGAGCTTCAAATCAC